TGAGAGCAGTGAGGTGGGAGGCAGCACAGGGGAGAGGAGTAGGGGTGAGGCTGGGACCTTGGAGCACTGGAGGGTTTCAAACAGAGTGACCGTCTAATCTGTGGACAGACTCACGCTGGCTGCCGAGAGCCTGCAGAGCTCCGGAGGGAGCAGGGTGAGGCGCCCCGCCAGGCAGGGGCCCCTCCCCACCCTCCCCCAGACCCAGGGTCCTTGCTCGCTTCACCCTCAGGCCCTGCCTGGGTCTCCTCTAGGTCTGAAGTCGCAGGAGGCCTGGAGTAGCTGCCCGACTGCAGACACTTGTCAAATTTTCCGTTTCCGGAGAAATTCTGTGGACCCCACTGCCCTGTACCTGAGACAAGACAGCCACCCAGTGGTAATTTTTCTAAATTTTTTATTTTATAGCAATTGTCATGATAGAGAATAACACATTTAAAAACCTCCTCAGGGCCAAAGGATGCCAGAGTATTTACAAACACAAGGGGGGGGGGGTCAATATATGTGGGGCTGGGGGGTCCCACCCAGGCCCTGAGCCTGGCTACGATGCCACCACAACTGTCCCATCGGCCACAGCGAGGGGCTCAGGGAGCATCGGTGGCCTTGAGGCTCTGCTCAGGGGCCTGGCAGACCCGCTAGCTAACTTGTGGCCCTGCCTCCTGCCCAGGGGGCTCCCCACACCCTACAGGCCAGCTCAGAGGGGCCTCTGGGAAGCACCAAAGGACAGGGGGCCTGCCCAGGGTGGGACAGAGACGTGGCGCGCGCACACACACCTCACAGAGGAACAGCAAGGGGAGGATTTCTTTAAAGTTTTTTTTTGTTTTGTTTTCTAAGTCTTCATGTCTACGGTGTTACTTTTTGCTATTTATTTTTTGTTTCTTCGACAGTGACATAAACTGAGGTAAACATCTGTGACCAACACCTCTCCTAAGGGGCAAAGGGTCCCAACCAACCCGCAGCGCAGCCGGGGCAGCAGCGGCCACAGCGGAGCAGCCCTGGCTCCAGCCCTGCTGAGTCAGCGTCCCTGCCCCAGCTGTGCCCTGAAGATGCCGGGCTACACAACTACCGTCCCTTCCCGGCGCTAACATCCTAGCTACTAAGACGAGGATCTCAACAGAGAGAGGGAGAGCACGCGAGCGAGGGACATCTACTTGGAATCTCGCTTCCGTGTTATTGCAGGAGACAGGATGTCGAAAGGCCTAAGGCAAAAGGAGAGGTGCCGGTGGTGGGCTCCGGGGTCCGGGGTCCGGGGCAGTGGCGGGCCTTGGCCCTTGGTGAAAGAAGGGGTTTGCTACTTACCTGGCGTGTGGAGGCCCCGCTGCCTGCTGGCGAGGTGGGTCTTGAGGGCGCACACCGAGGGGTGGGGGCCAGGCCCTGGGGCAACCTGTTTGTAAACTGGACCCAGGCAGGGCAGGGGGACCTATAGCCCTTTTGTGTGGTGGGAATAAGGGGTGAATGGAGGGGGGCTCCAGGCCAGAGGGTGGTCGGGGCTCCTCTGGTCAGCCTGGCCCATTACAGAGCCCCCTCAAATGGCCAGAAGGGACCTGGCAGGTGGGGCGCATGGTGGTGAATGGTGCACTGCCAGGCAGAGGGGGCAGCCTCACCGTGTTGAGGTTATTGCAGGTCCTGGGCCTCCACAGCCGGCCGGGCGATGAGGGAGCCCTGGGTGAGGCTGGGCTCCTCTCCGCTGTTGTGCTGCCTGGGGCCTGAACCAACCTGCAGGTGCCTCCTGGCGGATTCCCTGAGGGGGTGGTGAGAAGCAGGTCTGGCGCCCTCCGGCAGCTGCCCGGCAGGAGCCCTGGAGCAGGGAGGAGTTGCTGAGGCCTTGACGCAGTCACTCGACACACAAGGCTACACGCACACGTGTGCACTCTGTGCGCTCACACCGCACACACCCACGCCCTCCCGTTTCCCCGGCACCCGTTCTCACACCCACAGCCACCGCCGCCGCCACCGGCCAGGACCGGACACGTGCGCCGTGGGGACAGGGTTGGCCGAGGCTGACCCAGCAGAGACCCAGGGGAGTTTCTGGCACCCATCACCTCACCGCCAGCCAGGGCACTCTCTGGGCTGGGCAGCCAGGACTGGGGGGATCTGAGAGGTTCCCTGGGCCTGGGGAAGGTGTGGTGGGCAGGGGAGCTGGGCCCTGCCTTGGGCTCTACACTCATTCCCCTACCCTAGGGGTGCCGGGGTCCCTGCCCTGGGAGCCCTTCTGCCCTCTGAGGAGGAGAGTGAGGGCTACGGGACCTCCACCTCTCAGGTCTGGTGGCCCAAGGCAAGCTGCCCTCCTGCGATGGCGTCCTCATCAGGAGAATGGGTGGGGAGGGGTCACTGGATTCCTAGGGCTGTGCCTGCGCACAGACTTTGCAACACCCAGACATGTGCTACATTTTGCAAGGGGCCGGCCTTTCCCCTCCAGCCTCCCAGGAGCCCGCAGGATGCAGCTGAGCAACACCCTGCTCCCAGCTCATTGTCCTCCTTCCAGCAGCGCCCAGGGTCCTCAGCCTCTTCTCTGCCCCAACACTCCTGTCCCTTTCTGTGCCCGGGGTGTGTAGGGGGCAGGAGGGCAGGACTGGGGCGGGGCCGAGGGATGCTCTGCCAGGGGGTGCGAAGGGCCAGGGGCAACTAGTCGAGGTTCTGGGGTTCAGGGAGGTGTTGGGGAGTCCACCCGCAAGCTCCCTTGCTCCAGGTGTCAGGGGGGCCTCTGAACCCTCGGGTCTGTGGGGCTTGGCTCCTATGGGCCCCACAGGCCAGGCCAGAGGCCTTTGGTGTCTATCCCCAGCCCTTCAAACGGATGGACGGGCGCCCGGGCTGCCGTCCTGCCTAGACTACTACTACTCCCTCCACCGCCGGGCTGGGCGGTGTTGCCACGGCCACAGCCACAGCCACCGCCGCCGCCACTAGCCTGACGGGACTGGGGCGGATCCAGCCATCAGCCGGGTGCATGTCTGATAACCAGTGCCAGGACCGAGGCGAACGAGAGGCTAAGAC